AAAAAATAACTTACAAGATAATAGATAATAAACAAATTCCCTCTATAAATTATTGCCATTAGTATTACTGATTAAATATTTGCAATTTAAAGTACCTAATAAAACTTTTTCACTTAAATTTATACTCAGTTCTTTTTTTAAATTTATAATAACATATTTAAATCAAACTTCTCTCTACTAACTGTACATACTATATTAAAATATTATATTTTGTTTGCGTTATAGTTCCATATTTAATCCTAGCTGTGGCCGAATTAGAAATTACGTATTAGTATGTCAAAATAAATGAACATTTTGTTGACCACTAAAGTCAAAAATAAATCCCACGTCTACTTTAATTATTAATTTTATAAACACGACATACTCAAAATTTCTTTTCTACACTTTAATAATCCGAATCTTGTATTATAATATGAACTATAGCCATATTTCTATAGTTATTGCATTTACCCCCTTGGCTTTCTAACAAAATATTTCTCTGGCTACCCCCAGTATTATTTTCAATATAAAATATATTTTAGTATAATAGAAATACTTTTTTTTTATTTCACAGATTGTATCAATCCCACACTTTTCAAATAATTGTTTGTCTTTTATCAGTATTCTTATACTTCGATAATACTTCAAAAATATTTATAGTGTTTTATTCTCAGAAGCGACCAATCATAACTATTTATTTTTGACTATTATTCATTTGTGATATAAATTTCAAATGATATGTGAAGAATAAGGGATTTTTACATAATGATATACTTTCAGTTTCTTACTAATAAATATAGTTAAATACTATCACAACCAGTTTTTTTCTCGGTCCAAATTTCTTCATAAAATCATGAAATTCAGTTAATTATTTTGTTTTCAAAACAAAACAAAATTATACCTTTATTTAAAGCATTGAAAATCTTAATTTTCTATTTACAAACTTAAATATATACTCGTTACCTCAAATATTGTTTTTTTGAAAATAATGTTCTCTCATTACCCATGTATATGAAGTCATTTTCATGATTTAACTATATTATAAAATTTAATATATCAGAACACCAGTAAGATTACAAAAAAATATTAGCTATAATGTCGATGATATTGTTTTAGAGTAGACATTTCAAATACACGATCATCTACTAATTGTTTATAGGCGGCTACAAGTATCAATAGAAAATTTAAAAAAATAAGTATAATTCTATTTTGTATCATAACCTGCATAGTACTCTAATCAATATTCTTGGTTTAATTAATTGATATTTGACGTCTAACATACCTATTTTAAAGTATATTTTATTTATATATTTACAAATGGCTAAATCGTTTAATCATATGTTTTTCTAATAGAAAATTTAAATAGTTTTATCATTATTTTACGGTATTAAATTTTAAATTAAACTTAACTTGGTTAAAGTTACTTGATAAAACTTGAAAAAACTTCTAAAATAAATTTAAAATTTCCATCCCGTGTGCATTGAATAATATATTATTTAATATGAAAACTAGTTAATTAATAGCAAATATTTTTTTATTATAAATTTTAATTATACCAGTTACTTAAAATAACACTTAATCTCGTAAATTGATTAATTTAACTGTTATTTTTCGTATGATAAACTTAATTATTTCAAAATAAAAACAACAACATTAAATTTTTAAAACTCTGAATATAATACACAATTGTCATAATATAATTATCTTTATTTGGATTTTATTTTTAATAAATATAAAATGTTACTATTGATATTAATACTGAGTTGTCAAATTTTTCATTATTATGAGTATAGGTAACAACTTCTAATATTCAATAAAACAAAATCGAATCTATATAATTTACTTACGCTAGCAATGCCGAACAATTCACACCGTTTACAAATAAAACCGCAAAGTTTAACACACATATATATCAGTGCACGTTCAAAATTAATAGCCTGTTCGTTCAATACTATAGATAGCAGATATCCACATCAGCGATCTTATTTTTATTTACATTCAATTTATTCTACCTAAACCTATGTCATTGTTGTTTTATATGTTAGTCATCAAAAGACGTGTTACTGTAAACTCCTATCGAATTTAAGCGATTAATAATATATAATGTTATTTATAGTGAAATAAAACTAATTGTCGGGAGATTATATTGGCGTAAAATGAAGTTCACCAGAACTTTTTGAAAAGTTAAATCCTAAAACTTTTTTAAACATTTTGATAGCCCATACTAGGTCACACAGTGGGTGTTACACAATTAGATACCGTAAATCTAACTGTTTACTACAAAACTTGTGTAAAACACTATGAGTCATTCGTTTATTATAAAATAAAATACTTAATAAGAGACTATGATATAGTAACGTCGAATTAAATTTAATAGATATAAAGATATTCGAAGACATATTATTTAAAATTATAAATACTTTTAATTTCGTACAAAATTGTTTAAGTAAACGATTAATTACTCTTAACACCTCATGTAAAATAATATTCAAGTATATTAACTAAAATAATTAATGAAAATGCATTTATTATTAGGTGATAATTTATGTATTAAAAATAATGTAAGTGTAATTTTTTAATAATATTAAGAATAAATATTTTCAAATCGAGGAAAAAATGTAATATTACATTAAATAAATAGAAAAATAATAGAAAACATACCATTCAAGGTTTGATTAAACTAATTTGGAACTTTTATATTAAGCATACGTAATGATAACTTTATTTTTATTATCTCGTTATTTTATTTGAAATAATTTTAAAGCAATAAATTGAATTGTTGACCGTGTTTGCGCCACAATTTAATTTTATCGATATAAACTGAATTGTTTTGTACTTATATTCTTTCGTCCTTAAAAATTTGAAATATTGATAACACTACACTATGCATTCATATAATATTGTGGTTATCGACTCACGGAAAACACGACGCGTGATGGTACAGGAGGAACGTTACAGGGACGCCGACATCCGCATAGTCTACACATTCGGAAACGGTCCACTAATAATGATTGCAGACAACGGTAGTATACTGGAATTCAAAAGATCCTTACGTTATATATGTGCCTTTTTCCTGCTATTGTCTGCGATATACTACCTATACATTATTCGTGATATTTGTTGCTTTTCGATATCCGTGCAACCGACGGATATATAAGTCGGTATAGGCGTATATACACAGTTATCAAAACCGATACCGACGAAACTTTTATAATATATATTATATATATTATATAGGTATATAACATAATCATCGATCCCAGTTGAAATGTTGGCATTTCGGCATACATTATTATACAGCTATCGCGACCTACTATAATATTCAATAGATATATCATATGAAATATATATACAGAATACAGATATATGTAAAAGGCGAAGATACGCCAAAGAGTATACCGGTAAGTGTCGACGATCGTATAAAATGATGAACGAAACAATAGTGTGCACTCGCGCGCACGCGGCACGTATGCGTGTGTGTGCGTGTATGCGTGCGTACGTGTTTCGTATAATGGTTAGCAGTGGACACGTTTTCATTGATACCCGACACGAGTGCGGTAGGTCTATGTAGGAAACTCGGCAAATCGATCTCGCTTACTTACACAGTGGCTACGCGTGAAACAAAACGGTTGTAGTACGGAGAAATGGCATTTCCGTTATGATATCAGTACTGCACGGCCGATAACCGTACATATAATACGTACGCGAGTACTTTGGATGTGTGTCCAAAGATAAGAGTGTATCATATTGTGTATCTATGCGTCGTGATGTCGAAAAGTTATACATAATTACGTATATACCAGTATAATAATATTATAAAATAGATATAATATTATATGGTGTAGCGTCACACCAGTGTTCGCTACACAGTATACAATAATAATAATAATAATAATAATAATAATAATAATAATATGATATATAAATTACGTTTCATACGACACTTGATCAATATTGTCGGTTTTTAATGGCCAAAAAGAAAAACGAGTTTTCATTCGGCAAGAAGAAAATCTAGTTCATATAATACCAGCGTGACGTCATGTATACGAGGGTGGCGTCACCAGTGGGCGAGTGGAAACTCGATTTTTTCTCGTAAATTTTGTTAAAACAATTTTTTTTCCCTGCACCCTTCTTTAATCCCATCCACCACCGACAGCAACTCCTCGTCCATCTTCTCTCACCTTAGGCAACAGATCGTGTAATAAGATTCTCAATATCCGAGTATTATTCGAATCGTTATAAATAACCATATTAATAATAGTAACGATACGGCAGAAATTAAAAACTGCATTAAGAATTATGTAAAGCCGACGCCACAAACAATTTTTTTTTTTTTTTGTTTTATTTTAATTTTTTTTTAGTTTTTTTTATTTTAGACCGAGTCAACTCAGAAAAATAATCGGAATTATGCAGTGCTCAAGTGTAATACGCTTAATATACGTCGTGTTCAATTTTAACGAGGCGAATTTTATTTTTTGTTTATCTTATAATCTTAAAACTCTTGATCGTGTTACACGTGCTAAAGATCAAACGTGTGCGGTGGTCCGCCGGCCCAGTAATAAATACGAGCACGTGAAATTATGATAATGTCCGTTTTTCAGTTTCTTCAAACAAAACCGGATATTAGAAAAGTTCTAGGGGCTGAAAATATAAATTTTATAGCGTGCGGGCGCCCGACCGTATTGGCAATAGAGTGGTTTCTTTTCGGCGAGTTTTTATCAAAAGGTCCAATAACTATATACGATGTACGCTATATACCTACACTTCGGCGGTGGCCGAGTTCCATTGTGAAAGAAATTGGCAGCGTGCCTAATTAGTTTTGCAGGCGACTTTTTCCCGCGGCGGGAAAAATAACGACGAATGAATAAAAGCAGCGAGCGCACGCTGGGATAATAAAAAACCCCCTGGGAGTGGAAAAAAAATTGCGAAAATTTACTAGCGGTCAACCCCGCACACGGGGTTCTCCCGGCGGGGGCGGGCAGACGACACGGGGTGAGGTACGCATCATGTGTACTACTTACGGCGACGCGTGGCGAGTCGTAGTAATAGTATCGTAGTGGTTGTACTACAGACGACGGCGGCGGCAGTGGAGGTTGTGTGCTAACGATAGTAATAGTGGCGGCGACGGTGGTGGTGGCGGTGTCAGTGCTGATGGGAAAATCTCGTGTTTCGACGAGAACGTTGATAATAGCAGCGACTGAGCGGCTGTACCTGAGTGATAATAGCTTTGCGAGCGTGCGGAGGTGCGGCCGCCGTTCGATAGTTCAAAAGCGGCGACGGCAGTGGTGATGACGGCGGCGGCGGCGGCGGTGGCAATAACGGCGACGACGACGACGACGACGACGACAACGGCACACCGGTCGGGACGACGGCAACGGCGACGGCCGTGCGGGGCGAACGTGCACTCGGCAGTGCGACTGACCACTGCGAGCGCGGCGGAATCAGCGGCAGCGATAAGGGCCTGTGGTGTCGTACGCGTTGTTGTTGTTATTGTCGTTAGTGCTGCTGCCGTCGGGCGGCGGCATCGGCGACGACGACGTTGAACGCAGGCGGCGATACGAAACGGCGGCGAAAGCTGCGATACGGGTGCGCCGTAACGACGGCGGCGATAATAAAGCTCCGAACGGCTGCGGCATCGCCACTGAGGGGCACGAAAAAGTATCGGCCGGCGCGCCGCAATGTTGGTAGCACGGTGTGTTGTACGCGTGTGTACGGCTACGTCACAGCAATACGATAAGCATATATACATACATACGCCACCGCTCGGCGTGTACGTAGCGCGCGCACAGTCAGCTGAGCTGTGTGTAATATTGCGCCCTCTCACGCTGCCGCCGGAGAGAAGGGTAGCGGCGGAAAAAGCCCATCATCACCATTCACCGCCGTCGCCGCCACCGCCACCCTTTCGACTTTCGAATGCGCGCGCACCAAAGTCGTTCGCCCGCGTGTCACGTGATATAACGTACGGCACATACATATAATATAATATATATAATATGTATACCTATATAATAATATGTATGCGCTCAGTGACACCGCCACCGAAACCGACACCACGTCGTGTGCTTCTTCTTTTTCTTCTTTTTTTTTCTTCTTCTTCTTCTTCTTTTCTTCCTCTTCTTCTTATTTTTCTTCTTCTTCTTCTTCTTCTTCTTCTTCTTCTTCTTCTTCTTCTCCTACTTCTCCTTCCTACGCAATCTGTTGTCCACCGACTCTGCAACCGCCACCCCAGCACACACAATATCATAATGCTGCACGTCAATTTTCGTTTAGATAAAACTTCCTGCTCCTATTCTTCTGCCACGACCACCGTTGTATAGTCACCGTTGCTGCTACTGATGACCAACCACCGGTCGACCTTTCCCCAATCCCTCCCCGAAAGTCATCCCCTACACACGCACACACACACACACACACACACACACACACACAGCTATTATGTCCCGCCGGTGATAAGGATAAGTCATATCTCCGTGTATTGTCGTGTATCTACCCATCTATATATTATTATTACATAAGCGCTTATAATAATAATGTAGACATGACCGCACGGCGATCTATACACGCGTGACCTCCGCCACCGGATTTATAATAATAGTAATAATAATAGTATATATATTACATAACACGCAGTATAAAAGCGGACGACTGACTATACGATTTCCTCTTTTTGTTTCATCGATTTATCAATTTTCCGACACACTTACAAGTTACTGCCGATAAAACTTCATCGTCCCCGATTTATAACGGTGTATAATGGCCCTTTTCTATACAAGGAGTGTCTATGTGATAAGTCGTCGAGCATTCGTCAACTTCAACGCACCACCAATGATATGTCGGGCTATTCAACTAAACTTTCTAATGTTTTGTACACGCAATATATTTATTCAATAAAATCGTTTATGATTTATCACTAATTGTTTATAATCGATAACTGAATATTATAAATTATCTTTAATCGTTTTTCGGTGGTGAAACATTATGTTACGTTATGATATTGTTCGTCGTACGGTTTAATATGCCAAACCAAACAACGCAAACCATCGTTTACTAAAATACAAAGTTACCTATTTATTTTACATTTGTTATCTGATAAAAAGTCAAAATATGATAAATGGGGGGGGGGAAATATAAATTTAACGAAAATCATATATTATTTTATAATTTACTTGTTATGAAGTATCTGTTTTAAAATCGATTTTGTTTTCATGAATAATTTTAACTACTAATTACAGTAATTACAGTCTAAATTTTTACTGAAATTATAATTTTTATTAATTGAGGTCTGTAAAATTATTTATGATTTACATTAATATTATTATTAAAACATATTAGAAAAATAGATAAAAACTAAAATATCTTTAGAAGGTTTTAATTACATTAAGTATAAAATTAAATTTTAAAAATCATTATACAGAATTATTCAAAATAAATCATTCGATGCTTCACACCTGGCTTTCTGGGTTAGTAGCCGTAAGACTATATATTTTGGAGATTGTTAAGGATACTAAATACGTACCACTATAATCATCAAATCAAAAAATAACTAAAAATTATCGCAATTAATTACAACGGATATGTATGTAATGAATTAGAGTTCTGACTAGGTTTTGTTCGTGTAACCAAAGAAAGCCGTGAAGAATATTTATTGATACCATTACATCAATTTGAAATATTATTCTTTTATTTAATATAAGTATCATGTGTTATTCTAAATTTAAAAACTAAAAATGTATAAGCATTTTAAATCGGATGAATCATTTTGAATAATAACCCTGTTTTTCTATAATTACAGAAGATATATATAATTGCAGAAGTGGTATGTCAATATAAAAATATATATAATATTTTACTAAGTAAGCTATATTTATAACCTTTATTAATACTGAATACATAGCGCCTGTTTAATCTCGTATACATTTTAACCATGATAAACTAATCATATTTACCATCTACAAAGTAAATATTTGTTATTTAATTTTACCTAACATTATTCTGTTATGCTCAAAGAAAACTTTCAATTAATCAATAGCCTAAACATAACGCAGTATCTACCCGATTGTTTTTCAATACTGTTTAATTGCTAATATATATTTTACGATAAAATAATTACTTTAATTACAAATTACATTGCAAACAATATGGACTTAACATATATATTTCGTATAAATTAATTAATTAAAAACATTTTGCCTACATTTTTTTTTGTGTTTGAAACATTAATTTTTATCAATACATTTTTTTTAAATTAATTAATAATATTGATTTACTTTACCTAGTTACCTATCTGATTTTTTTTCTGATTTTGATTTTTCTATTACAAATATATTATTTATATTATTCACACTATAAAAATATAAAACTACATAAATATAAATTATAGTAGTGACACATCGATACAAAAATAAATGATAATCCATAAACCATTGAATTATATTTTAGTTACGAATACAAATTTAATCGATAACTGTATAATGATATTTTGCTATAGCTTATGTATCTACTTTTAAATTTAATTTTATTAATATATAAGTAGCTTTTAAGTAATAGGTAAATATGTCGTAAGTTTTACATTTTAATTAATTACTATATTTTCAACTATACATGTGACAATTACCAAATATATAATAGTTCCACAATAATAAATAAATATAAATACTATTATTAAAATGTATCCATGTAGGTATGTAGGTAATACGCATTTATTCATATTAAGAAGGTTAGGTTATGCATATATTATACCTACTCATCATAATGACACTAAAATATATTTTATATGAGTGAATATTTTAGAAGCCTATAAATTATAATCCTGTAACAATTATTATTAACAATAACATATAAATGCTTCTTATTTCTTATTAGAAACGAAATATGTGAAGAGTATTATGTATAATGTGGATGCATTTTAAAAAACTATTGGGAAAGCAATCAATATAAACTATAGTTGTGTTTTAATGTCAATGTTTTTAAACTATTACAAACGTTTGATACTTAACAGTATTACACTCTCATGTATAATTTATTAATTTTAGGTTAATAGGAATTTCCTATTAGGCTGATTCAATTAGAAACATTAATATCAAAAATCCTCCTATTATTAAAGAAAATCAATTTATGAAAATAATATACTATTGAAGATAATCTCCCTATATTACAAGTTATAATTCTTAATATTTTTTTTCAAAAAAAAATAGTCATTTAAGAAATAAATGCTAAGCCTAGGTTGTTAAAAAAAAAGATAAATCTAAATTTATGATTCTATAACTAAATTGTATAGATAGCAGCCTTATTAAGTATGTATATATATATATTTAATAGAAGTTGTTTAAACTGCTTCAATAATACTACCGCAGGAAGAAATACTGAAAAATTATGAGGTTAGAATAAGAGTTTTAAAACCATTTATAAATAGATTTGTAGTTATTAAAATATACATTATAAACATAAAATAATATAGTAAATTAGAATGAACCTATATTTTTTTTCATAAGCGCAAGTATAATTTATTTTTTAGTTTATGCCCCTTGTGGTGAGGAAAAAAATATTCTCATTAAATTTAAAACATCAATATTTTTTAATTTAACTATTGAAATATAATATATACTATAAATTAGGTACATATATATTTTATAAATTATAAATTATAATACATACATTATACATAATAGTATAGTAGTATACTGAATGATTCATTTATCAAATAACACTCATTATTTCAAAATCTATTAATATTTTTTTTACATAATTACCAGTCGAAATAAAACAACAAATTTAAAAAAAATATATATATATACTTTTTATAGTTAATTTTATCATTGTTTACTCATAAACTGCTCATCAAAATTTTGATTATTATTTATGGAAATATTCTTTAAAATATTCTGTTTCAGAATATGAAAATATAAGAGTATATTTTAATTCAAATAAAAAAATTATATCTAAAAATATTAAAAAATGTTATTTTATTTTAAATGGAAATTAAGTAAAAAAATAAATATTTTCAAAAATATTAACAGATTATTAAATAATTAATATTCTTTGATAAAATAATTTCCCAATGTAGTATCTTATATTACAATTAATTTTAAATTAAAAACATTAAGAAGTTTTACTGTAGAATTTACGTTTAAATATTTTTCAATATATTAAATATATTATGCAATTTATGCGACATGAAATCAATTATAAAATAAACTATGAAAAATTTGATTTTATATGAGTACCGTGTACTTACATCAAATAATAATTTTAATAGTAACATATTTTTATTAATTATTACTATGCAATAAATAATTACAAATTCAAATTGTAGGCACTTACTTTAATATTTCTATTAGATATCTATTTACCTAATAATAATTTTTTAATGAATATTAAAATTCAAAAGTAAAACAATATTTATCAATATAAATATATGGATAAATATAAGTATGGATATTAGTTTTATAAATGTATCTAATCGATACCTTAAAAATTTCAAATCCCGTATAGCCATACCTATATTATTATAATAGACGGTTGGTGATTGAGCCACATTTCATTCACCTGATTCTTATACAACATTTGTTTACATTATATTACCGAAGTATTGGGCTACAAATTTTTAGCACGAAAATATACAAATATATAATATTTATTAAATTTAGCATCTAAATAATTTTAAATTTGAATAAATATCCAATATAAAACTAAGTACATAAAATAACTATTAATTTTTAGATTCTGAACGGAGTGATGAATGTATTGATTTTACAATGTGTGTTTTTTTTTTTTGTGTCTGTGGACAGCATAAGTAGTTGAAATAATGCTTCAATTTCAAACTTCGGGGGTGGTTTCCGATGGAAAAGTGAATATCCTTAGTGGATTCTAGAGGTAAAAATTAAACATTTTCCAACAGTTTTCAAAAAAATCAAGAAAAACAAAAAAAAAATGACGGAAAATGACCAAATCGATTTTTTTATATGGTTGTAATTCAAAAACTAATCACTGTAAATACTTGAAATTTTCACCAAATGTTTATGTTAGTATATAGTTTAATTTTCAAAAAATTTTGACTTTTTTTGAATTATTTATAAACCACTGATTATTGATTTTTATGAGAATTTTTTTTTGAAGTGTCGATAAAAAAATGTTGGATGACCAAAAAATTTTGAAAATTTAATACAAGGTTCCTTATGAGTTGTTCTTATTGTAGTTAAAAAAAATTAAAAATCGTTAGTCACAATTTTTTTTTTATAAACGTTTATAATTCAAATATTTACGAATCTATCGAAAACGCGAAAATTTATAAGTAATTTTGAAGTTGAAAAATCATAAAATTGTTTGTGTTTATAACTAAGGATTAAAAAAACTACACTATGTTTTCCCTAAGTTTTCCTTCAAGTAGCTATAGTTAAAACTCGAAGCATCATTATAGGAAAAATTTTAAGTGCGTTTGAATTTTAAATGTTTACGAAATAGCGTAACTGTAACGATTTATCCTCAAACGATTTTAAATATTTGTTAATATTCAAAAATAAGTCGTAGATACTTGAAAATTTTACCAGTTATCTAGATTGGCATTTTCTTTACATGATTTAATTTTCAAAATATTTTGACTTTTATGAGCTATTTATAGACAACTGAAATTTTTTTTTTTTTTTTTTTAATGTATATTTACAATCTATATTTAATATAATACAATAAGTAAATTTGAGTAATAAAATTTTTGACATGAGTTCATATGATAAGAGAAAATATCCATTGATATTACTTTTCTGAAAATTTTTTTTGAAATGTCGATAAAATTGTTTTGGCTCAATCAAAATACTTGAACATTTAATACAAAGTTCCTCATAAGTTATTCTTATAGTGATCAAAAAATTTTAAGAATACTTAGGCACAATTTTTTTTTATTAGCATTTGAAGTTCAAATATTGACAAAAATTCGTCAAAACCAAAAATATTTGCAAACTATTTTGTAGGTATAATTCATAAAAT